CCCCTCTCCCTCTCCCTCCCCCTCCTGCTCCCCTTCCCTCTCCTCCTCCCCCTCCCTCTCTCTGTTTGTGTGTATATGTATGTGTCTCTGTGTATGTGTTTCTGTGGTGGGACCTTTCATAATGTATAGCTCTTAATTTAATTCAACACAACCCATCATTCTAATATATTATACATTTTAATATTTTTTTCTTATCAAGGATAAACACACATTTGTGGCAGGTAAAAGACCATTCTATTCAACAAAGCTTCATGTTTGAGTTTGTATTTATTAGTCTTTGTGACTGCTTAGAGCGAAACATTGTTTACAGAGTATCCTGGAAAGCATTTACATCTAGCTTTTAAATACAAAAAGCTTGGAAAACTTTATATATTTATTGGAATTTGGCATAAGGAATCAAAGCAATCAGTCAGTAGTACAGGCTACAAAACATGTAGTTAGCTTGGGTATTTTGACCCTCAATGTCTAGACCAGAGGTAGGTCCTTTACTGTGAGTCTGTTCAGGAAAGATTTAGAGAAGAGAGGGTCAAATTCAGATTAAACCCAAGAGGACACTAGCAGAGAAAAGACTGAGGAATCTTTGACCCTTCACAGAACTCAGGATATATTCTGAATAGTGTTATCCATTTTGAATTATTCATCTCTTGATTTCAGATGATCTAAACGTAAAGTATTTCTTTATTAAGGAAAACTGATCAAGCTCCAGAGAGAGTATATGAGGAACACATTTCGAACTGCCTTTTTTTCTTCAGGTGAGTTCAAAATGGAATGTGGTGGATTTAGGAAGTGTGAAAGTGAATGTGATTAGTGTAAATTATGTAAAACTCCCAAATAATGAATAAAAATATTCATTAAAATTCAAAAATAAGCTTTGTGGTTGTTACTGAAGTTGATTTCTTTTTATATATATTCTGAAAAGTCTCATATTATGTTTGTTTATATTGCCTATCACTTTTCCTTGTTTCTCATAGGCCAGTATCACATTATCCCGAGTGCAGCCCATTCTAGGAATTTTGATGTATCTCTTATTATCAATATGTGGATTCTGAGGTATTAAGTAATTCTACAAGTAAATAATAATAAATGAAATTAATAACTCCTTTCAAAGTTTTGTGCATTAGGGTTTGTGTGTATGTGTATGTGTATGTGTGTGTGTGTGTTTAGTTTTTTTGTGGTCTAGGATGGCCTTGTGCTTGCCAGTTTAAAGTATTTTCTATTTCTTCCTCTTAGTAACTCCATGGATTAAAGGTGTCCTCATTCACCACAGGCTACTACCAGTTTCCATCATTCATTTGACCAGAGAAATCCAGTGGCTGTATTGTAAAGGAAACTGTGCTGAATCACAAAATGGACTTCTGGAATCTGGCAATCAGAATTATTTTTTTATCACAAACTACAACTGGAATTATGGGAAATTTTTTCCTTATTTTCTACCATTTACTTCTTTACTACAGAGAAGGCACATTAAAGGCAACAGAATTGATTCTAATGAGCCTAATGCTAGCCAATGTGATGATAATTCTCTCTGTAGGTGTGCCCCAAACAATGGCAGTTTGGGGATTGAAGGATTTCTTGAATCACTTAGAATGTGAGTGTGTATTGTACTTTCAAGGATTTGCTCGAAGTGTGTCCATTTGCACCATCTGCCTCTTGAGTGTTTTCCAAACGCTCACCATCAGTCCCAAGAAATCTTTTTGGAAGTATTATAAAGTCAAAGCTGCCAAGTACATTGGCTGTTGCATTTTTTTCCTCTGGGTCTTGAATATATTCATTAGTTCCATTTCATTTCTGTATACACTTATCACAAAGAATAACACAAATATGACAAGAATACGAGATTTTGTATACTGCTCTCTTAGAGGGACAGATGACATCAGTGATTCACTCTATGCACCTTTTGTGGTGTGCCCTGAAATCTTCTTTTCTGTGCTCATAGCCTTGGCAAGTGTCTCCAAGATTGCCATTCTATACAGACACAAGAAGAGGGTTCAACACATCCGTAGCAATCATGGTTCCAGCCACACTTACCCAGAGTCCAGAGCCACTCAGAACATCCTCATAGTGGTGTCTACTTTTCTGGCCTTTTGTACTCTCACCTCCATCATAAGAGGCTGCATATCTCTTTTTCATAGTCACAGTTGGTTGCTGATGAATATCAATCACTTCACTTCTCTGTGTTTTCCTACTTTTGCACCGTTTGTTCTTATGAGTCATTACTCCATAGTATGTAGATTCAACTTGGTCTGGTCAAGAAAAAAACTGTCTCTTAATTTTCTTCTTGCCCAACTGTTCACTCACTCTTCACCCTAGTAGGTCAGTAATACATTAAATGAGTTGTGCCTTGTTCTTCTAAGATTCATCATATATGGTCAAAAGATGTTCCTTTGTACCACCTGCCACGTTAGTGTCTTCCAGAGGAAGACCATCAGTACCATGAAATCCTTTTAGAAGCACCATAATGATAAATCCGCCAAGATCATTAATGGATCCATTTCTCTCCTCTCAATCTACACATGCCTATTAATTTAATTCCTTTATGTACCAATTTTTCAAAAGGAATAGCACAAAATGTGACCAGAACATGAGCTTTTGGATAGTGTTTCCTTTTATGGACTGATGACAAGTGTTGACTTTTTCTATATTCTATTTGGCTTATTGTACTCTTCAACTTACAGATACCTCAGTTTTTCAGTTTTGCAGTTTTACAGTGTAGATGATGTGCAAAAAAAGCTAGTAAACCAACTGTCCATGAGATTGTTTTTCTTTTGTCATTCATACTATCAAGTATTCTTGATTGCCTTACTGCCGCAAAGACATTTGGTGGTTACTACATTCTAACCATAAGGCCAACTGAAAACAAGGATAGCCATAATCTTGTGACTTATGTGGCCCTTATCCCAGGACAGCTGTTCTAGCCTACAACAGTACAAGAAAACTGTTGAACTGATAATCCTCAGGGCTTTTGCTTGTACTTTCTCCAGAATATACTCTCTGGTTGTTCTTAACCTTGTAGCAATAGTCATCCACAAAATCTGGAAATATGGTATCATCCTTAGACATTGACAGCAAAATGTCAAGCAAAATGTCATTTCATATCTTAGCTTTGTTTGTTACTATTTTTTCTTCTTTGCCATGTTATCAAACATAGATTTTTTTTTCTGATACAACATAATACAGCTTCCTGTCCCTCTAGTTCTTCCAGTTTTTCTCTACCTCTTCTTCCATCTGGACCTACTCCCTTTTTATCTCTCATTAGAAAAGAACAGGCTTCTGTGAAAAACTGCAAAGCTTAAAAACACAAAATGTAATATAAAATGAAACTATGTTCTTAAAGTTATGCATACAAAACAAGCTATTAGAGAAACAAAGGTACAAGCATAAAACAGCCACATTTCTCCATTCAGGAATCTCATAAAAGTATGAAACTAATGTTATAATGTATATGCAGAGAAACTCCATAAGGCTATGGAAGCTTTATGATTAATCTTTGATTCAGTCTCAGTGAGTTCATATGAGCTTTTTATATGGGCCACCACTGCCTCCTGATATCCTTTGTCTCTTCCATCTACCCCTCTTCTTCCTTCATTTGCTTCTGCCAAGATCCTTGATATCCTTAACCTTTGAGCAGGCAGATTTGAAGGAGACAAACTTTATGTTGTGTGTGTTTGGGTAGAGTCTGCCCATGGTTCTCTGGATTTGCTACCTACATCAAGATGAAGCTTCTCTGATCATGACTGAATAAGGAACAGCTCTGTGAGTATAATGGATTAACATTAGGCATCACTTTTTATTAATTCAGATCAGTAATATTTGAATTTACCCCAGGCCTCTGGGTTATGCAGACCCTGGATTTTGGTCCTCCAAACAATATCAGATATGGATTCCAAATCATGGTGTTAGACTTCACGTCAGATATTGACTGCTTACTCCTACAAGGTTTGTGTCACCATTGCCCTAGCATATTTTGCAGATAAATAGATCAGAGGTTTTGTGCTTTGTTTAATGTTAACATTTCTCATTTGGTACCCTGCAGAATAAGTTTTGGTGTCATAGACACCAGTTTGATCTCTCAAAGTTCTGTGACTTTTGTGTGTGTGTTGTCTATGCCAATGTTGTCTTTTTGTCCATTTTTTCAGAGTAATCTAATGCTGCACAATAGCATTGGATGGTTGGGGATTTCCATGGGAACATTTTTGGCCATGAACTCAATTGGATTAAACCCGATCTTATGCTGGATATTTTGTTTCCTGGATGAGGTAGCCAGTTCTGGTTCTTTCTTGCTCATTTTTTTGTAGATGTCATTAGGATTGCATTCTGATATTATAGCAAGTTTCCACTGAACTAGATTTCATACTGTCCAGCAAAGACAATTTAATTCTAGCTGTCTCTTTTCTCATTCCCTCCCTCAATACCATCTTCCCTCCTAATTCCCATCTGATCCTTCTAACCATGTCACTCCCCTCCGTCTGGCTCCAGTACAGCCGTTAAATCTATTCTATTTATTTCCTTCTCCCAAAGTCCTGTGTCTCCCCTACTACTTTCCTTTATTCTCAAACTCTTTGTTTCTCTGTATGATAGCTTAAATATTATTTATTTAAAATTCACATCCAAGTTTATGTTAATATGTACCAGTAATAACTTTCTGTGTTTCAGATACCTCATTTGGAATATTTTCCATTTCATCATTTGCCTAAAATTTTCATGATCTCACTATTTCAAGAGCTGAGCATTACTCCATTGTGTAGATGTAGGAATTTTTTATTCATTTTCCTGTTGAGGGACACTTAGGTTATCTTCAATTTCTAACTATTATGGATAGAGTAGCAGTGAACATATTTTACTAAGTGTCCCTTTGATAGTATGAAGCACTCTGTGGATATATGATGGAGAGTGGTATAGCCGGAATTTGACATAGATTGATTCACTGAGATATATATGTCACTGATATCTCTCTCAATTTATTTTTCATTTGTATATAGCAGAGCTGATAATTTTTGTGTGTTAATTTTGTGTCTATTTGGATATAGTTTTTATGAGTTATAGGAGTCTCTGGTAATATTTTTGGGTTTTTCTTTTACACACTATCATATTTTCTGCAAATGACAATATTTTTTGCATTTTCCTTTCTAATATCTACCTCCTTAATATCTCCTCCTTTTGAATGTGGATTTTCAGTTTGTTTGTGAACTTTCAGAAGTGCTATCCAGTAGGTTATTTTTCTCTGCTTCTCGTGAAATGAGCTGACTCAAGCAGGTTGGATTGTATCTGTACAATCAAGAAATCTGTAGACAGATTTCTTGGGAAGCTGTTCTCTGGTGAGTTCTCTGGCCCCAAAAATTGAGGCCAGCAGAGCCACCACCTGAGGAGAGGGAGATAGAAAGAGATAAAGTGCACATAGTAGCAGAGAGAAGAAAGAAGGAGAGAAAGGGAGCTAGAGATCAAAATGGCTTGATTATACTTTTAAGACCTCTAAAGGAATAGCAGCCCAGCCCCTGGCTGATATGTTCTAGGTTGGGCTCAGGTTATACCAGGTAGGGACTGAGGGAATGCTGAGAGAACCTTGATTTTGGGTGTAAAATATGGGCCTCAATTCACCCTACTACAATCCTAGCCCTCTGTTGATTGTAAATGAATAAAGGAGTCTGTAATCATCCATGACTACTTCCTGCTGACACTGGGAGCCAGTACTGTTTTAACTGACTATCAAGTTGCACTTCTTAGTTATAGTAGATTTTTGAGACTAGAACCAAAACTAATATCTGAATGAGGACCTTTTTCACTGGTCTGCTCTGCCGATAATCAAGGTGGTGGTGAAGCCATAACTTGACTCTCTTTATCACATATTTAAAGAAGTAAAGAGTTGCATGCCATCCAGCCAGTGTGTACACTTTTCTCCAGTCAGCATGGCTGGAAATTTAAAATGAGCAAGCCAGGTGTTCATTATCACCTTTGAAATGAGTGATTTCTATAAAAATGTGGATTTCACATGCCAAAGACCTATTTAATCCTAAACTAAGACCAAATCCTAGCATGAAGATAGAGTTGGTCATGAAAGCCCACTCTTATTTGTTGAGCTGTAATTGTTACCTCCTTGTAGGAAGAGTCAAGTTTCTTTAACAACTGCCCCTGGCCACACTTCAGTAAAAGACCACATATCCAAGAATACTTGGATAACACATATTGGCATTGAAAGGTGAGTGATAGTTGACACATAGCTGAGTGGACAGAGAAGGCGGATGGATCCAGGAAGTGTTAAAAGGGAGGGAGGATGAATATGACCAAAATACATGGTATGAAATTATCAAAAAATTAAAAAATAATATAAAAATAAGTTTTTAAATGCCTTCATCAAAAAACTGATGAGAATAATCATTAACTTGATTGTTAGTTAGATCAAGTTAGATCAGCCTTTTTCAGGATCTTAGTGTTGCCATTATCTTTCTAAGGCAAAGTAGGCTAAAGGTTAGAGAGCTGACCCAGCAATTAAGCTCACATACTGCTCTTGCAGGACATAAGTTCACTTCCAAATACCGGTGACAGACAGCACATAACTGCCTAAAACTTCAACTCCAAGGCACCTGAGGTCCACATGAGCCACTGCAGGTACCCATGCTCATGTACTCATAACTCATACACACACACACACACACACACAAAACTATGATGCGCTGATATTTTAAATGAGAAGTAAGTAGATTTGGATAATGCCTAAGTTACTCTTTAATACAAAACATAAAGCATCAGCAGTTTCCATTATATCAATGTCCAGCCTCAGCCCTCTGTTAAGGGCTTCTCGTGCATAGCCAACAAACTTTTAGGGTAAAATCATTGCCTGGACCTACAATATTGCTCTACTAATCCAACTAAACCAAAACTCCTGTTTAAGAGATTACAAAGCACTACTTAAAGATACTTAACACTTTATTGGGTGGTAAAGAAACCAGTTTTGAAAAAAAAGTCAGTATAAGGCAGTCATTTTAGCATGAATGTCATTGAATGGCCTGTGTGAATCTGTAGTACAAATAAAAAGCCACATCTATTTTGTAACATACATGTGAATAAGTACAAAGGAATCTTATTGCAATGTTGGTGATCCATAATTATTTTATCCAATGGAACAAAATAATGATCCTCCTATCTTTCTTTTGGAAGAAGTATAAGGTCAGAATACACTGATGTTTCTTGCATGAGAATGTCCACCCTTGTTTTCTGCTTCTGCTTACACTCTGCTTCTGGTGCTCAGAAAGCAATGTTTCTTTTTCTCAGAAACCAGAAATGCCTAAGATTTGTTATCAAAGTCAGTAATTTAC